ACACAAAACCATGTGCTGAAATTGCAGTTGTGGTTAATGAGGAAGCCTTCACCAAAAAGACCTCCTCTCCAAAGGTCTATGGAGATTCTCAGCCATCCAAGACATAGCTGAAGAAGTTTCTTGGATGAGAAGTGAAACGTCTTCAAAGAAAAACAAGAAAATCCAGTTGCCTCGTGAAAAAAGCACCTTTGGGACAACACAATCGGTAGTTAGATACTTGGTTTTGGGGATGATTTAATCTGCAGTACATGTTTGTTTGTTTTTAACCATTTTATTGCATTGCTGTTCTTTCTGGCTTTTTTTTTTTAAAAAAAGTACAGAAGCCACGGTCAAATTTTCCTAGCAAAAGGCCCGGCTGTTCATTTTGTTCAACAATCAAACACACATTACAGCTAAAGTCATTCAGATAAGTGCCGTGGTCAACCAGAGTCAAGAGTATTCAGGATGCGCCAACTGGATTATCTTGGCGGGGGTCTGGATGGTCTGCAAATAAGCTTCAGATTCAGGATCTGTCCTTCCAAGAACAATCAGGGTTGATGTTCCTTTAGGGTTGACTGATTTGAACTCCTTGCAATCCACAAGATCTTCTTCAACACCACCATTTGAAAGCACCAATCCATCAGCATCCAGCCTTCCTTATGGCCCAACTCTCACCGCCATAAATTACTGTGGAAAAAACCACAGCTTTGACTATATGGGTCTTTGTTGGCAAGGTGCTGCCACTCAGATGTAGTATGTTGTTGTTAGTTGCGAAGTTGTGTCCGACCCATCACGACCCCATGGACAATGTTCCTCCAGGCCTTCCTGTCCTCTACCATCTTCTGGAGTCCATTGAAGTTCACGCCTGCTGCTTCAGGGACTCCATTCAGCCACCTCATTCTCTGTCGTCCCCTTCTTCTTCTCTTGCCCTCCATCTTTCCCAGCATCAGGCTCTTCTCCAGTGAGTCCTTCCTTCTCATTAGGTGGCCAAAGGACTTGAGTTTCAACTTTAGGATCTGGCCTTCTAAAGAGCAGTCGGGGTTGATCTCCTCCAGGACTGACCGGTTGGATCGCCTTACAGTCCAGTGGACTTGCAGGAGTCTTCTCCAGCACCATAGTTCAAAGGCCTCCATTCTTTGGCGCTCAGCCTTTCTTATGGTCCAACTTTCACAGCCATACATTGCGACTGGGAAAACCATGGCCTGGACTATACGCACTTTTGTTGGCAGGGTGTCTCTGCTTTTTAATATGTTGTCTAGATTTGCCATGCTCCCCAGGAGCAAGTGTTTTTTAATTTCTTGGCTGCAGTCCCCATCTGCGGTGATCTTGGAGCCCAGGAAAATAAAATCTGTCACTACCTCCATTTCTTCCCCATCTATTTGCCAGAAATTGAGAGGGCCAGATGCCGTGATCTTGGTTTTCTTAACCTACCAGTTAAAATTATAATTATTTTATAATTATATTTTTAGTAGCCCTCAAAGGCAAAACAGAAAAAAAAACCAAAAACAACAACAACAATCCAATAACCAGTCTCCAGAAAAGTAAACCCCAGAGTCAGGCATTTCTCAGTTTCAAGCTGATAAGGGAATTATCCTACTTCAGACACATTACGGGTTCGCTTTCTGATAAGGATTTAGAAAAAAAATGTACATTTCAACAGCAGAAAAGAGGAGAGTCAGTCCGTAGGTAGGCCTCCAATTACAGGCATTTGAGGATAGTTTTCATAGGCAATCTGGCGAGGAGGACAGCGTCAAACATTTCTGTGGGAATGTTAATCCTCAGGGACCCAACCGTTGCTAATCTGCAAGACTTTTCTTAAGCCCAGCTTTGTGGATCAAGATAAAGACAGAAAGCGTGTTTTGAGGAGCCATCAAAGGGAAGCTCCATTTTTTTTTTAAAAAAAGCCACTCAGGTTGCTGGTTTCATGCTCCCTTCCCAGCTTTGGTGGGGCTGAGGGGGGCTAAGGGGAAGGAGACCAAGGCAGGACTCCAGGGAGCCTCCCGACAGAAAACATAACATTAGCTTTCTCTGAAGTGAAGGGTGAAAGCCGATACGCCCTCTAAATGCAACCACCTGCCCTTTCTTCTCCGTTGCTCGGTTTTCTCCAGTTCCACCGAACAATGAAGGCTGCACAAAACAGGAGACTCTCCAGCCTTTGGAGAGCTTTTCTGTCAAGGTGTGTTACACATTATCTGTCCACGAATGCAAACACAGCTGACTCCAGCTCACTCAGTTAGTCTTTTGGGATGTCTCCAGTCTTTTGCGTCGTTCTGTTTGCATAGCCTATTTGTGAGGCTTAACTAAGCGGTGGTTGTGCATACTGCATTTGCAGATGGGCACGAGACAGGGAGCGTAAATGAGAAATTGCTAAATTAGAGTTTCATTCAATGAAGAGGCCAGCGGGGAATTGACACTTCGCTGCACGGACCGCAGCTAAAGCGATTCTCAACATTTGAATCAAAGTGAATCAAAGCTCTTTCTTATTGTTTCTCAGGCCTATATGTTGCTTCGGTCTCTTAACAACTCTCCTTAGGCCAATCTCCTTTTGGCAGGTAAAGACCCTAAAATAAGAACAAGTTCTTGCTAAGGTTGAATTTTGATTGATTTGAGGTTGTCCTCCAGGATATTGCATTCGCCACTCAAATATTGCCTCCCACTCAATCCATCCCATGTGACTTCATAGGGTGATTGCAGTAGTGATTAAATGAAGGAAGACTCCCATTAAAACTATTTTTAATCTGCTTAAGAAAAGATGAAATTTAAACCAAACCAACAGCAAATCCATGAAATAAAGTCTTGAGAGCATCAGTTTTGGTGAAGTTACTTGACATGATTCGAACTGCAAAACGGCAAAAATAGGCACCACTAGTTAGAGGCAGTTTTTGTACCTTTTATTGTAAGAGAATGTAAGTATCCTTTAGGTATATTAAGGGAAGTGATTCATTCAGTAGAATAGAATAGAATAGAATAGAATAGAATAGAATAGAATAGAATAGAATAGAATAGAATAGAATAGAATAGAGTAGAGTAGAGTAGAGTAGAGTAGAATATTATGTAATGTAATGTAATAGACTAGAGTAGAGTAGAGTAGAGTAGAATAGAATATTATGTAATGTAATGTAATAGAGTAGAGTAGAGTAAAGTAGAGTAGAATAGAATATTATGTAATGTAATGTAATAGACTAGAGTAGAGTAGAGTAGAGTAGAGTAGAATATTATGTAATGTAATGTAATAGACTAGAGTAGAGTAGAGTAGAGTAGAATAGAATATTATGTAATGTAATGTAATAGAGTAGAGTAGAGTAAAGTAGAGTAGAATAGAATAGAATATTATGTAATGTAATAGAATAGATTAGACTAGACTAGACTAGAGTAGAATAGAATACTGTGATCTAGAACAGCGGAAGACAGTTAACACAGAGAACGTTACGGGGGATGGGAGCACAAGTGCCCAAGTGCATAGCGCTTCAATTGTCGTCATAAGTCAAAGACCTCCTGTACCCTCAACGTGTCAGAATTTGGCAGCATTATTTGGAACCCTAACACAGGAAAGCATGAATAAAATGACTAAAGCATCTTTATTTTTTTATTTTTTATTTCTTGACCAAATAACGCTCCTTTTAGAAAATATAGAACGATGGAAATGGGAGGCATTGTGGGCAAATTTAAGAGAAACTACTAACAGGAGTTCTGAATTGCATACATTTACAACTTGCTTTTTTATGACGCCCTTAGCGTTCCAGTTTTTTTATATATATAAATCGCGACTAGCGACATTTAGAACAAAAGTCGACCCTACGGTAAGCTTGTATCCGGTAGGAAATTTCAAACAAGTTCATGGATTGGGGCCAAAGTCATAGCGAGGAAAAACTACGTCCCTTTGTAAATAGATTGTAGCCATCTGTCGGGATTGCGGTGCAGGGGAAGACATAAAAGACACATCCTCTCTCACCTTTTCCAGTAAAGAAAATACGGATCGTAAGTCAGGACCCAGGATAAATAGAAAAATCTCTTTTAAACTTCTAAGGATGGGCGATGGGAAGCACTGACATGCTCTCAACTCTCTTATTGGATCCTTCAGGTGTTCTGATGGGGCCAGTTGAGTGGTGGGATTCAAATAGGTGAACAACCGGTTCTTTGTGTCGATGCCGCTTCCGGAAGTCCATTCTGGGCCTGGGCAACAAAAAAATTAGCTGTCGAAGTGGTGCGAACTGGCTGAATCCCACCACTGGGCCAGTCGGTGGTCATCTAATACAGAGGTCCCCAACCTATGGGCCACGGTACAGAAATAGATCATGGCCTCTTGGCCACTGGACTGCAGGAGTGGCTGGCCAGTGCATGTATGTGAGAGTGCTGGTGCTAACTGAGCCACAAGCCACAAGCCACGAGCCGGTGCTAAGCAAGCCACGAGCCATGCACCGGTGCTAGCAGCGGTGGACCGTGCATTCTCACAGCCCCCTTTGCGTACATGTACACCCGGCCACATTTGCGCATGTGTACATGCATGCATAAAGGTGCCTGTCCTTCCCTTTCCCAGAAAGGTTGGCAACCCCTGATCTAATAGCAAAGGTCATTCCAAGTCAGTCGCTGAAGGATCTAGTATTTTCCCTCCCTCCCACCCCCCATGACATTTTACAAGGCAAGGAAACCATCAAAGGCTGGATTTGGAAAACCTAAAATCCTTCCACTCCTTTTGGCAACTGTGCCTCTTTTCATCTTTTCATCTAGCTGAGCAACCAAGGTTTGTTGGGTAGGTGGAAAACGTTCCGTCGGAGACTGGGCAAGCCGGAGACCCGAGCAAGTTTTAAAATGGCAATCGTGCCAAATGGCAGCCAAGCGTGGGAGGACTTGGCTCCACCTCCTTCGTTCCAACTTTAACCGAACGATTTCGGTGTTCAGGAAAGTCTAACGGGCGTTTTCAGGTGACGGAACCTATAGTAATTTTAGAGACCACTGGCACCAACGTTCCCACCCAAAACTGTTTAAGTCTTGATGGGTTGGGAGCCGTGGGACTTAAACCGATCAGAACCATGGATGCTTGTAACCCAGAGATGGCTCTGAAAAGCACGTCTGCTGTTCTAGACCTCTATCAGAGCTCTTCCTTCCAGCCACCAAGGTGAGATCGCGCGAGAGGTACCATGGTGGACGAGATTTCGTTCCTAAGGACAGTTCTTTCTCTTAGTCGTAGCTCTGCTAAGGGCTTTATAGCAAGCACAGTGGTCACCACTTCCTCGGCTGAGCAATGAGGACCTTCTGCTAAAAACCCCTGAACTCCCTTTGTGTTACTGTCAAAGCTGACTCGGCTACACCATTGCCTGCACTTGATTTTGCCTTGCAGTTTGCCAAACAGAAACGGGAGAGGGGTTTGGTAAATTCCTAGGGAGAGGAGAGGGCTAAGGAATGGATGAGAGCCCCCCAAGTTCAAGTCCCTCAATGGTTTAAACGGCACAGATTGTTTCCCCAAAACAAAAGAGCGGAGTGTATTTGGTGGGCAATGAAACGGTGGGTGGCCCAGAGGAGAAAAAGGGCTTTTAAACTTATGTCGGTGTTTGCGGGAAAACCTCAGAACTGCTGTCCCTAAATGGATCTTTCAATAAAATTTTACTCTTGGTGACCAGGAGATCCTTTTTTAGAATGCGCCAACTGGGATGGTTGACATTTGCTACAGCTCTGATCGTTCCTTGGAGGAACCAAATAAGTATGCAGCCAGGCTCTTTGCGGTTCGAATACAGATCATACATCGCTGTGTCTCGAACTAAGAGACGTAAAACTGCCCCGGCGACTTCGGTGGAACTGGGAAAAACTGGCCGCCCGACTCCTCTTCCTTCTTGTTTCACTCCAACTCCTTTGCTTGTCCCGGGTGATAAAGTTTTCTATCAATTTCAGTTTCGAGTGTTCTTCCTTCAAGAAGAAATCCACCAGCACGCTCTTCTCCTTCTTGATCTGCTCACTGATGTCCTTGGGAATATCTGGGATCAGCCAGTCCACCAGCACACTGAGGAACATCACCAGATTCTGCCAAGGAAGAAGAAGAAGAAGAAGAAGAAGAAGAAGAAGAAGAAGAAGAAGAAGAAGAAGAAGAAGAAGAAGAAGAAGAAGAAGAAGAAGAAGAAGAAGAGGAAGAAAGAGGAGGGGGAAGAAGAAGGAGGAGGAGAAGAAGAAGAAGAAGAAGAAGAAGAAGAAGAAGAAGAAGAAGAAGAAGAAGAAGAAGAAGAAGAAGAAGAAGAAGAGGAGGAGAAGAAGAAGAGAAGAAGGAGGAGGAGGAGGAGGAGAAGGAGGAGAAGAGGAGAAGAAGAAGAAGAAGGAGAAGAAGAAGAAGAAGAAGAGGAGGAGGAGGAGAAGGAGAAGGAGAAGGAGAAGAAGAAGAAGGAGAAGAAGAAGAAGAAGAAGAAGAAGAAGAGGAGGAGGAGGAGGAGGAAAAGGAGGAGAGATGGATCATAATTGGTAGGAGAATACAGGGCACCAGCTGTGGAGAACTTGCAATAGTGATAGCACTTAGACTTATATGCCGCTTCACAGTGCTTTACAGCCCTCTCTAAGTGGTTTAAGGAGTCAGCCTATTGCTCCCCAACAGTCTGGGTCCTCATTTCACTGACCTCGGAAGGATGGAAGGCTGAGTCAATCTTGAGCTGTTCAGGATCGAACTGCTGGCAGTCAGCAGAATTAGCCTGCAGTACTGCATTCTAACCACTGTGCCACTGCGGCTTACATAACAATAGCCATAGCCCAGACTTATATACTGCTTCACAGTGCTTTACAGCCCTCTCTAAATGGTTTACAGAGTTTGCACATTACCCCTAACAACCTGGGTCCTCATTTTACCGACCACGGAAGGATGGAAGGCTGAGTCAACCTTGAGCCGGTCAGAATCGAACTCCAGACTGTGGGCAGAGTCAGCCTGCAATGCTGCATTCAGATCACTGCGCCATCAGGAAATGGTGATATATACTTCCTAATTTCAGTGAACGTAGCTGGTGTGTGGCTTCATAGTTAAGGTGTTGGGTGGCCCAAGGGAGATCTAGACTCAAGTTCCCTCTAAGATTCCGGACATGGAAATTTTCTGGTTGATTTTGGGCCACTCCCCCTCTCTCAATCCATTATTATTTATTTATTCTGTTTGCTCAGGCTCACTGCGCAGGACATCCTAAATCTGTGTTATTCAAGAGAAAAGGAATACCAAAATGAAAATGTTTACCTGAAAGATAATGACAAATGCCAGACGGGCAGACAGAACAGACCAATACTGCTTAGAGAATTCATAAGGGCTTTCAGCCCACGGTGGCTCCCTGTAATCCTTAAACCTGAAATATAAAACCGGCACATTAAACAATATTTTTTTAAGAGCAATTTCCCATTCTTCTTTACCTAAAATTTTCAGATTTGGCCATTATCGAGGGATGAAAGTCTACGTCAGGGTTCCCGATAGATGAGACCAGTTAAAAGAACTTCGAAGCAAGGACAACTTCCCCAAAGAACATTTTTATTTGGCTACAAAATATTGGCACGCACAAAGGTAAACCCAAGACTAAATTCCCCTGGTTACAAAGTTGCAAAGTTGCAATTCCCACCCCAATTAGGTGTCATGAATCACATTCACCAATTGTTGCTAAACTCCGGGTGCTCCTTCCAGCTCTCCAGCCCATCAAAATGTAATCAGTAACAACCTTGGTTCCCACAGACCTAAGAATTGTTATGGCTAACTTAAAATTACACTTTTCCCCTCCCTTCCTAATTATGTGGCAACCGAAAACGAAGTGCAAATGGGTTTCATCTCAATTCGTTGCAGCATTGACCGTCTAGTTACATCATAAGAATTAAAAACCTCCAATAATCTGTGAGCGACTAGGCTCGAAAAGAGCATGGCGTTCTGCATAAAAGCCGAAGAAACATTTGCAAAAGAAAATGTCAGAGTGGGTATAGATAAGATATATTCTCAGTGCTTCCCATCTTTGGGCGTCAATGCTTTTGTTCACGCTGGCTGGAGAATCGATGAAAACGAAAACAGCGATCTTCAATGAACAGGCAGTCCTCCCCTTACGGCCACAACTGAGCCATTTATGTTGCGAAGTGAGAAATTTGTTAATTCTATTCTATTCTGTTCTGTTCTGTTCTGTTCTGTTCTATTCTATTCTAGTCTATTCTAGTCTAGTCTAGTCTAGTCTAGACTAGTCTAGTCTATTCTGTATTCCGTTCTATCCTATCCTATCCTATCCTATCCTATCCCATCCCATCCCATCCCAACCCATCCCATCCCATCCTATCCCATCCCATCCCATCCCATCCCATCCATCCTATCCTATCCTATATGGTTGCAAGCCATGGAGAACCTGGAAGACCTAGTCTTGGCTTTTTGAATAACCCAAAAAAGATTTGGGGACTAATGGAGAAGCTTTGCGTGGTTTAAAAAAAATGGCGCCGTTCTCCGAACTTTCAGACCACAGAAAGACCTTCAATATATTCAAGAAGATAGAAAAAAAAGGGTAAACATTAACAGATTATGCCCCACACGAAAAGACAATGTTTGCCAAGAGACACATCTGGATGGTGAAATGCAATTTATTTATTTTTTAAAAAAGGTTCACCTTTCCTAACTGATGTGGCTGCCCCAAAAACACAAGTTTTGGATTCTACCCATGGAGAATAGAACAGGGAATGCTTGAAATAGTTTTCCTGTTCGTTGCATAAAGACAATAGTGGAAAAAGGACAGAGTGTATATTGTTACGGCTTTTGCAGAACATCAAGTATGTGGGTGTCAGAAAAAAAAGAGTGTTCCACACTTAACAGGTGGTGCCGATGGAGCCCAAAGAAAGAGAGCGAGTCTTTTATTGCACCGACAAGGAAGAAACTGGAAAACATGACCTAAACAGGCACACAATGGTGGTAAATGTAGACCAGCAGCACTAAGAACATTATGCAATGCCATCTGCTTAGTATAATAAAATTTCCCTGACAAGACTTTGTGACAGCATTAAAAAAAAAAAAACTCACTGGAGATGGAGGGAGGTCAAAATGTCCCTGATGACAAATAGTTCAGTTCTACACAAAGAGAAGTTTAGAAGGAACCTTTCCATAATGGTTGAAAAAACACCCATGATAAAGACTAGGAAAGTTGAGAGCATGGTGACATTCCTAGATAACGTCATCATGTTCCATTGGACCATGGCTGTTATCCACCAGGAGACAGATGTGTTCCTTCCACTGGAACAGCAATTCATCAGGTGGTCTCCCAGGGAGGCTGCAGATGTAAAAAAGTTGGCCTTGTGTCCTTGGATGGCAGCCTTTGAAGATTTTAGCCCTTGATAGAAAGTCACCGTTTAGACCAGACATGTCAAACACAAGGCCCGCGGGCTGGATGCGGCCTGCGAAGTGGTTTCATGTGGCCCGCGAAGCCATCCTGTAAACAGTGAGGGAATGGCCCCCACTGGTTTGGCCCTGGCCCAGGCCAGGTTGGAGCCAATATACAATTCTGTGGTGGCCATCTATGCTGAAACACGTTCAGTCTTAGCTCCACAAGGCCATCTAGAAACAGTGAGGGACCGGTCCCTGTTGCGTCGGCCCCGCGCCCTGGGTGCATGCTGGGGAGGTGTCACCCTTTGTGAGGAATGAAGAAATGGACCATCACCTGGAAGTGGCCAGCAAATGGCCCTCGCCTAGTTCACATACCCGGCTTGATGGGCTCTGCCCTGGTCCCACCCCCTTCTGCCAAAGACCCTCAGATCTGTCCCACTCCTGCCCAGGCCCCCACAGGCACCCTTGACGCGAATGATGTAGAGCTGGCCACACCCACCCAGTAGGCCACACCCACTCCATCCATGCCCACCCACTCAGCCCCCCCTGCCCCGCCCCCGAGGGCAACCGCAATGCTGATGCGGCCCTTAATGAAATTGAGTTTGACACCCCTGCTTTAACAACTTTAGAAGGCCTTGAAAAAAATCCAGTGGCATAAAACTGGCAGTTCCAGAAAGCAACACAGTTCCAAAATCACCTGGGCAGTATAACTCTCTGTTTATATCAAAGTAGTCTTATGTTAATAGGTGAAAAAAGAGGAGGGTGATCAACATCTAGGATGCAATAACAGAGGGATAGAATTAAGGTCACGTGAAGTGTTAACACCACTTTACAATGCCTTGGTAAAGCCATGCTTGGTCAATTTTGGTCACCACGATGTAGAAAAGATCTTGAGACTCTAGAAAGAGTGCAGAGAAGAGTAACAAGGATGATTTAGGGGACTGGAGGCTAACACATATGAAGAACGGTGGCTGGAATTGGGTATGTCTAGTTTAATGAAGAGGAGGACCAGGAGTGACCTGATAGCAACGTTCCAGTATCTGAGGGGCTTCCACAAAGAAGAGGGAGTCAAGCTATTCTCCAAAGCACCTGAAGGCAGGACAAGAAGCAACGGGTGGAAACTAATCAAGGACAGAAGCAACCTAGAATATAAGGAGAAATTTCCTGGCAATTAGAACAATTAACCAGTGGAACAACCTGCCTCCAGAAGCGGTGAATGCTCCAACACTGGAGGTTTTTAAGAAAAGACTGGACAGCCATTTGTCTGAATTAGTATAGGGTCTCCTGCTTGAGCAGGGGGCTGGACTAGAAGACCTCCAAGGTCCCTTCCAATTCTATTCTATTCATCATTTTAAAAAAAGATCCTATTTGAAGGAGATGGAGGATGGAGCTGGAGCGAAACGTGGGCAGGGCCCAAGCAGGTGAGAACGTCCATCACAAACAAACAAATATGCAATGATTTTTCATTCATTACACACCGAGTGATGAAGACGTGTCTCAGATGGAGGCTGGAAATGTCAATGCAAAGAAGGAACTCTCTACCATTTTTGGTGGACATGTGACGAAGCAAAGAAATATTCTTCAGTAGGATTTACACGTTAATATAACCGAAGATTCTTACAGTGAATATAAAGATGAAAACAGAGATTTTTCATTTAGGCTTCATGGATAAAGAACTTGGAAAAAAGACCCCCAACTTTGATGTTATATATGCTGACAGCAGGAAGAATATGCACACAAAAACTGGAAGGATACTTTGATTCCCACTATGGATGAATGGAGTTAGCAGAGGTGGCTAAATTGACTGCGTTGTGGTTTGTATCTTATGTTGTCTCTTATGATCTATAGTTTACCACTTCGTTGTTTGTATGTACACTGAGAGCTTATGCACCGGAGATAAATTCCTTGTGTATCCAATCACACTTGGCCAACGAAGAATATTCCTATTCCTATATTCCTGTTCCAACTCCTACTTTGTCAATTTCTGTCCATTTTTCCATGTCTGACGCGCATACATTTTGATTAAAGAAAAAAACACAATTATTTTTGTTGGAAACCCAACAGCAGATGAATAGCAGGCTGCAAGCAATTCTTGTCAAGATGCAGGCCAGGGGCCGACAACTCCATTATGTATTCTTTAGGCTGGTTTTTTTTGTCATTTATTCTGAATTAAATTGCATTGTTTGGTTTAAAGCAAAGAGTTGAAGAGTTTTTTTCCCCCCCTTTGGGCTAAAAGAGATTTGTCCTAACATGTTCTGGTTCTTTAAAAATCAAACAATTCCACCCCAGCTCTTGTGCATGAACTGGCCAGGTGTTCACTATATCATGTGCTGACAGCGTGTCTGCACACGGGAGCATGGCTGCCTCCAGAATCACAAAGACACACGTGGCTTTGAGGCACTGGAGGATGGGCGTAGTGAGGTGCAAGGTGGACCTTTGAATCAGGTATCTGTAACATCTGTTTAAAAAGGCACGTGAGGAAGTTCCAGGTAAGAAGCCTCAGAAGGGGGAAAACAAAAACTAGTCCCACAGTGTTGGCCTGCCAAAAAAATTAATGAAAAACCCAAAGTGTCTATGGAGATTCTCCATCAGCCAGGGTGTCCCATAAGTGCTTTTTTCAGCTGGACTTTCTTGTTTTTCTTTGAAGACTTTTTTGCTTCTCATCCAAGAAGCTTCTTCAGTTCTGACTGGATGGTGGGGAGTGGAAGGATTTATACTCCTTGCAGATAGCTGGTCATTTGCAGTCTTTTTAGAGAGTTGTTGAGGCCACTTGGAGAAGGCTCCGCCCCCATTTGCACCACTGAGTGATCCTGAGGACACAGATAAGCCTCCAAGTGGCCTCAACGGCTCTCTGAAAAGGAAGCAAGTGACCAGCTGTCTGCAAGGAGTATAAATCCTTCCACGCCCCACCATCCAGTCAGAGCCGAAGAAGCTTCTTGGATGAAGAGCGAAACATCTTCAAAGAAAAACAAGAAAGTCCAGTTACCTGGTTTCCTGCCTGAGCAGGGGGTTGGACTAGATGACCTTCCAACTTTATTATTATTATTATTATTATTATGGATCATTGCACAGTCAGCCAGATGTTCAGACTGGATTTGGCATTTTGTCTACCTATCGAGTCCTTACCCAGGACCTGGGATAGGCAGATGTGGATGTTTGATGGTATTACAGGTATCGTCGCAGGATGGAAGCAGTTCCTAATAAGGCCGCCTTTTGCAATTGACTAATAGCGAATTTGTCAATGCCAATGGTGTTCAAGTGGTGCTCCAGTTGTTTTGGGATTGCACCCAAGGAGCCTATGACTATTGGTACTACCCTTGCTTGCTTTTGCCACAGCCTTTCTATTTCTATTTGTAGGTCTTTGTATTTTGTTATCTTCTCCAGTTCTTTCTCTTCTATTCTGCTATCTCCAGGCACTGCCACGTCCACTATCCAGACTTTTTTGTCTTTCTTATCGACAATTGTTAAGTCTGGGGTGTTATGCTGCAGGTGCTTGTCTGTTTGAATTCTGAAGTATTATTATTATTATTATTATTAGGTGCCTCCTGAAAAAGCACCTTTGGGACAAAGACACAAAGAGATTCTTCAATCGCCTTCCATAATTTCATTATGTAGCTCTTCTTTTTCCAGTCTGGTGAAGCTTGCTTTGGAGTACAGCTAGTCCTCATTTAGTGACCATTCGGAATTACAACAACGCTGAACAAAAGTGACTTACGACCCCTTTTTTCACCCTTACGACCGTTGCAGCATCCCCAGGGTCACGTGATCAAATGTCGAACACTCAGCAACTGGTTCGTATTTACAACGGTCCCAGTGTCCCGGGGTCCTGTGATCACCTTTTGCGACTTTCTGACAAGCAGACCACCCTGTTCCTAACTTAACCACTGCAGTGATCCACTTAACAACTCCCCTCCCAAGCGTCTCGCTTAGCAACAGAGATTTTGGGCTCAATTCTGGCCGTAGGTCAAGGACTTACCTGTAACAAAACAAGTTGGCAAAACACTTTGGCCCCTAAAACAGCCTCCTGCAAAACGGCCGCACAAGGAGACCTTCTTCTGCACATCTGCAGCCGGATCGACCTCAGCCAGAGGTTTGATGGTCGTCACAGAAAAGGAAAGGCAGCTAGCTTTACCTGCAGAAGGAAACCTCCTCTTCAAAGGGCGAGTTTTCTGGTTGGGTTCCAGCCTTAAAGTCGCTGACGTTGAAGTATGACAGGGTGTGATTGATGAAGCCGTGCATTGACCCGTTGTGACTGTACGCGTATTGGTAGACCAGGCGTGGGATGAAATCCGAAGTGACTGAAATAACAAAGGCCTGGAAGAGAAACAAAGTCATGAATCGGCCAAGGGAACAGGACACGGACAGGCCTCCTCTGAATAACAGAATAACAGACTTGGAAGGGACCTTGGAGGTCTTCTAGTCCGACCCCCTACTCGAGCAGGAGACCCTATATCCTTCTGGACAAACAGTTGTCCAGTCTCTTCTTAAAAACCTCCAGTGATGGAGGTTCCATTCCATTCCATTCTATTCTATTTTATTTCATTCCATATTCCATTCCATTCCATCTATTCTGTTCTGTTCTGTTCCGTTCCGTTCCGTTCCATTCCATTCCATTCCATTCCATTCCATTCCATTCCATTCCATTCCATTCCATTCCATTCCATTCCATTCTATTCTATTCTATTCTATTCTATTCTATTCTATTCTATTCTATTCTATTCTATTCTATTCTATTCTACTTTATTTCATTCCATATTCTATTCCATTCCATTCCATCTATTCTGTTCTGTTCTGTTTTGTTCTGTTCCATTCCATTCCATTCCATTCTATTCCTTCCATTCTATTCTATTTTATTTCATTCCATATTCTATTCCATTCCATTCCATCTATTCTGTTCTGTTCCGTTCCGTTCCATTCCATTCCATTCCATATTTTCTATTCTATTCTATTCTATTCTATTCTATTCTATTCTATTCTATTCTATTCTATTCTATTCTATTCTATTCCCACCTCCCCTTGTGATGCCTCTGACTGTGATGAGAATATATGTCAGAACTGCAGCAGTTTCTATACTGGCAGATCACCAATGTGCTGTCCATCGGCCTATCAAAAAGGAAAAGATGGACGACTATATTTGTGAATAAAACCACCAATGGTATATTTCATAGGTTAGAGGGGAGAAGAGAGTGAAGATTTCCTAAGAATTTGGCTCCATCTTCCCAGATTAGATTTATGATGAAAAGCTTTTTAAAAATTATGTGCTGAACTATCAATAAAGATTTGAGGCTGGCACACAGCTTTGGAAGAAAAATGAACATAAAAGTTACATCTGACTGACTGTGTCAAGTTTCTTATAGCGCCATAGTAAGATCGACGCCAATACTTACATTAATTATGACTGAAAATTTTCCAATGCCACTCAGAATATTGAACCAAATTCCTGCAAGGAAGCACAAAACTTAAATGTTGAGATCTGGGGATGGGTCCTTGTGAAGCAAATTCTGAATGCAGATAGTCCTTGACTTATAACCATCATCAAACCTACAATTACGATCATAAGTTGGGATGGTCATTAAATAGATCGTCACACAACAATTTTATGCCCTTCTTTGCGGTGGATGTTAAGCACGCCTTGCAGCTGTTAAATGAATGCCTTGATCATTGTTTGTGACGGCTTGTTTATTTGTTTTTTGGGTGGAAGCTGGAAGTAAACTTCCTTTTTGTGACAGAAATGCTGTAAATCAGGGTTATGTGACCACAGGATGCTGCAAATGGATATCAATGAGGACTAGTTGCCAAGTGCCCAAAATGCAGTCACATGACCACTGGGAAAGTGTGGGGCAGTTGCCAAAACATCAAATCTGCATCTTAAGCACCTTTTTTGAGATCTGGTGTAACTTAGAACGGTTCTTCAGTGAGACATCGTAAAATGAGGACTGTCTATGTCATATTTGCCCTAACATGATTTTTCTTAATCTTTATTAAAAACAACAGCAACAACAACAACAACTAATACCTATATCCTTTGCTCTCACAGTATCGGGTCTTCTTAGTTCAGCCACAAACTTTTTGGCATCAAGCCGAACTTCAATGACGTTGTTCAACAAGGCAAACACTGGAGCCAGAGGAAAGGAGGCCACAAAGAGAGTCACGAAGCCGAATTGGATGACTAGAAGACAAGAAAGAAGAAGAGGAGAGGAATATGAGCGGAGGGATAAATGACCACAGTAGATATAAACATTTCTGGTGGCAGGTAAAGACTTGAGAAGGTGTCTTCACCAACTCAGATCTGGAAACAAAGCAGAGGTGCCCAGCCTTGGCAACTTTAAGACCTGTGAACTTCAGCTCCCAGAATTCCTCAGGACCAAGGTAGGACCATACAAGGTCTGGGTTATCATATAATACAGATGTAGCCATGTGTTGGATTCAAGCCTCATGTGGGTTTTGGACAGGAGACTGATAAGACTTTGAGCCAAGCGGTCATTCTGGTGCCAGTGTCCACTTTGGGCAAAGTAGACTGTAAGTTATTTCCAAGATATTTCCTCTACTTCAACGGATACTTAGGACTGCAGAATATACCTTATTCTGAATATAAATAATATATATATATATATATATATATATATATATATATATATATATATATATATATATATATATATATATATATAAAGATTCCTTCGCCTATTGGTATCTAATGATTTACCACTTGCGGCTTGTATCTTATAATTTATGATCTATAGCTTACCACTTCGTTGTTTGTACTGTATGTACACAGAGAGCTTATGTACCAGAGACAAATTCCTTGTGTGTCTAATCACACTTGGTCAACAAAGAATATTCCTATTCCTATATTCCTGTTCCTATTTGTCAATTTCTGTCTATTTTTCCACGTCTGATGCACATACGTTTTTGATATAAAGCGACTAACCACGTAATAATAAAATCATTTTAACGGCAAAGATAATGAAGATTAAAATTACTCCATCTTTCCGAGGTCAATAAAATGAGGACCCAGTTTGATTCCATAAACTGCTTAGAAAGGGCTGTAAAGCACTATGAAGCTGTATATGTCCAAGTGCTATTGCTATTACTTATTATTATTGTTATTATGGATCATCGCACAGTCAGCCAGATGTTCAGACTGGATTTGGCATTTTGTCTACCTATCGAGTCCTTACCCAGGACCTGGGATAGGCAGATGTGGATGTTTGATGGTATTACAGATATCTTCGCAAGATGGAAGCAGTTCCTAGTAAGGCCGCCTTTTGTAATTGACTAATAGCAAATTTGTCAATGCCTATTATTATTATTATTATTATTATTATTATTATTATTATTATTATTATTATCTTTTATTCATTGGACACAGTGCTTTTTTTCTAAAAAAAAAAAAAGGTGCTGGAACTCACACACTTCATACAACCCGCCTTGCCTACCCTACAAGGTTCCATCCAAAAAAGGTGCTGGAACTCCATTCTGGGTGTTCATGATTAGACATGAACCTCAGTCAACTGAACATTCAAGTTGGCTGGCGCTGATGGTTGACACGGGTTGCTACCAGCATCCTAAGTGTCAATCAGGTATCTACTTAAAATGTAAGATGTTCTGAGTAGTGCAATTTTTTTCTAACATTGCTGGAGTTATTGCAGGAAGCTGCAGTTTCCTGATGTATTTTGCAAAGTTTTCTATTATTATGATTATTGTTATTGTTGCTATTGCTGTTATTATTGTACAATATAATACAGAATAAATTTAAGGAGTTTTGGATCAGGTCATTGTTAATAAACAGTTGCTGATTGCTTTACCAGCTATGGAGGAATCCTATTTTTTTTTTTTTTTGCCTTATTCTCCTTCTGCCCTAGAGCCCAGATGTGACAACTTCAACACAATGTTTACCAGCTCCAAGGCCTTTAATTTCATCACAGCCCTGTTTTATTGCTTCTCATTTCTGGAGAAAGCAGTCTACTATATTTTGGAGAAACCTTTTAAATCCTACGGTAGCAGCAGCAGTGATTTCCCGTGCAATTTTTTTTTTCTTTTTTTGTGTGGCAATTAATGTACACAACATGTCTCCACGTGCTCTCCCCGAAAGAAAACACTCAAATCCAAGAATGTCATGAAGATTACACAGGAATGTGCTTCTCTCTTTAAGGCTGTTTTGTTTGTTGATGTCTGAGGGCGAGCAAGTTTTGATGACTCTCCTGCTTTCTCGGAAGACATTTCCACAGC